GTGTGTGTGTGTGTGTGTGTGTGTGTGTGTGTGTGTGTGTGTGTGTGTGTGTATGTGTGCGCGTGAACGCAAGAAAATAAAGACATCACGCAACACTCACGTCTGACACAAAATTCTCACATACTTTCCACAGAATACGAGGACACACGGCAGGCACACACAACATTGCGCAAACGCAAAGATAAAAAACCAAGGGATCAAATTGAAGAAACAACACAAGATAGGGAAGAGGGGGTTCAATCTATAAAAATCGAGGAAGTCGAGGAGATTGATAAAGAAAGAAAAAAGGAAGAAATCGAAGAAGAGATTATTGAACTTGAACGGGATTCAAAGGGCAGATTGATTCGTAAACAAAAACAAAAAGAGATGGAAAAACAAATAGACACAGAAGAGGAAGAAGAAACTATTAAAAAAATTAGAAAGACATTGATACCAAAAAGATCAAACATTGGTAGAGATGAGATACAACTGGAAGAGATAGAAGAATTTGAAATAACAAAAGATCAATTACTGCCGTCTATGGTTTTAAATGTATCTAGTCAACGAAATCAAGTGATACCATTAGATCATACAATCGAACAAGCACCTGGCAAACCCGAATCAGAGAAAGCTAAATACACATTAGACACTGTTATCGCGCTAACAGAACAAATGACATCAGTACACGAAAAAGAAATTGATCAAGTGGCAAGTACCAAACCTATCGAACGTAAAGCGTCAATATCAATCTCATCGATAGAACCATATTCTACCATGGAAACTACTGCACATATATCTACTGATGAATTTTCTGGATCTTTCAAAGCTACTTCTTATGAAGCTACACCTTCGGTAATAACGAAAGAAAGTCTTCTCATTAGCGAAACACTGACTCACGATGAAAGTGTGTCAAATCTAACTTTGACTACACCAGAAACAAGTCGAAAAGCGGATGTTCAAGTTACTGTACAAGAAGCTACAACTATTAGAGAGACCATAGTTAATCAAAGCGAAATACCGACCGAAGATTTTATAACACCTTTAAGCGTTAAAGCAGAAGATATTGTCTTACCACAAATATCACTTTCGGTTTATGAAATACAAGAAGGTTTGGTTGAAAATAAATTGGAACCTACGAAAACGGTACTTACAAAACCTCGAGTTAACATCAATGCAATAGAACCGTTGATGGTAGAAGAAATTTATTCTGAGGATAAACCAGGAAAATATTATCCGGAGTTAATAGTACCTACTGAAGTCGCTACCAAATCGATAATTTCGCAACGACAACGCGTTACCGAAGAGATGAATGCACCCGAAAAAGAAGGAGCATACATTCCAAGTAGATTACCACCGAGTCAAACGGCTCAAATTGAAATTTCCTATGGAAATGAAACGGCTGTTATTCGTCATGATCTCATACAGGAGTGTGAAGGCGAATATATTCCCGAGCGAAAAGTAGATTCTTTCGAAGTTACTCCAAATATCACTCTTTTGGAAGGAGTCACGATATCAATGATCGATACTCAACAAAAAGAAGATGATTTGACAATCGAAGAGAGTAAACAAATCACAGCTGACTTGAATGTTGTTGAAATTATGTCAGCTGTGACGGTGGAAACGATGACATCTGAAAAAGAACAAGATTATCATCCTAAAGAAAAACCTACTACTAAACTAGCCGTTACATCGATTTCCCCATTGGAGATTGGTTCTATAACAGACACAATTGTTCAAGAATCTGAAGGAACTTATAATGTCGATGAGAAACCGTTTGAAGTATTAGCGGAAACGTCAGTCAGACCGGAGGAACATATATTAATATCTCAAGTTCAAACCGCAGACTATCCCGCAGACTTGAAAGATATACTCAAGTATGTCACAGAGAGCGGTGTTGTATCCATTCAATTAACCGAAGCGAAAACTGTCCTTGAAACGCTCATTCATGATCGAGAGACTAGCATGAAGGAAGATACTAAACCAGAAATTCATACGATCGAGACGATCTACGATGCTATCAGAGGTATTGAAATATCACAAACAACTTTTGGAGAAAAAGAAGCCGAATTGAAAATTTTTGAAATGCCTGAATCACATCGCGGAAAAACGGTACCTACTCATCCAATGATCTCGCTTGAAGTTCAGGAAACCCAACCTGAAAATAATTTAGGTAAAGTCATGAAAGAAGCCGTATCAACTGCTACAGCTCAAATTGAAACAGTCAGTCTACAAGAAACAATTGTTGATGAGACTATTGTAGCAGAAGATATAGCTCCGACAAGGAAAGATAAGATTCCTGAAACAATGACCGCCATTATTTCAATGAATCAGATTGAGAGCTTGCATACTACAATGATTGTAGCGGATGAAAAAGAAACGGAATATTTTGATATAACCGATGTTAAAAGTGCATTTGCAAATACTGAATATATGACGCAAGTAGCTCCTATATATGAACAAATAAGAATAGAATCGCCGACCGAAGAGTATCTAGCGGTAGATAAACCTGTGAGTGGAAAAGCATATCTATCTCATGTTCCTATAGAAACTATTAGTATCGTTATACAAGAAACCGCAGAAAAGGAAGATGTTTATAAAACAGACATAAAACCCGAGGAAAAGATGGCAAACATTAACCTCGCAGACATGAGACCTGGCGCCAGCGTTTTAGAAATAATTCCACATGATTTCGAGAATATTTACACGCCAGATACTGAACCACAGACTCATACGGTTGAGTCATCCATAACTGGTCACACCATCGCATCAAAGACAGAGATTTTAGTGGAACAAAGTGCTGAAAAAATAAGCAGTGATCTACCAAAATTAGGTAAAGCAATAGTACAACAAGAAGCTCTGGAAGAATTGATAGTAACAGAAACAAATGTCGGCGAAGCAGAACGAACCAGGGATGAGGATGCGAGTCCTGTTAAACAAAATGCTGCACTTCAAGTATGCGCTCAGTCTGAAAATTTGATCATCACTGAAGTAACTACCGTATTGAAGGAGGAAGAATTATTAATGAAAAAGTTACCAGATAAACAAAAGGTTGTATTAGACATAACCGAGAGCCATGAAATAGCTGAAACACAGGAGATGATTCTTGCGAGCAATATAAGTGCATTGAAAGAAGAAAAACCACATCAAGAAAGTGTCACTCAATTGCAGAGCGGATTAGATGTTGTACAACAAATGGAAATATCAGTATCTGAGAAAGAATCTCTTTTAGAAACGGATGTAAAACCTGATATTAAAAAGGTTGATATTACTTTTCAAGAAGGAGAAAGTCTGACAATTGAAATTACGCATCCTGAAGACAAAGAAGATATACTTGGTGAAAAACAGACACCAAAAACAGCCGAAGCTATAATAGACGTAGTAACACAAAATATAGCCTCGACATTTGAGATTATTAGTGGTATCGTTCCAACTGAATTATCTACCAAACCTATCCAAGATGCACGTCCTAAAGCGACATTATTACCATTTGAAATAGCTGTTGCTGAAGAAGTGCAAACAAGAGAAACTGAAAAACCTTTTCCTTATATGTTGGTACCAGAGAAAAAAGCTAATTTTGAATTTGTAATGGGTGAAGTTCTTGTTGTTTCTTCTGTAACAACTGGTGACAAAGAAAGCATGCTTGCAGAAATGGAAAAACCACAATCAAAATCTGCTACTTTCGATATTCCTACTTATACTGTGGCAGAAGCTGCTGAAATAACTGCAACTGACAACATTAGCGAATTAATACGCGAAGAAACGATCTCCGCAATGGCTATGACCGAGCATATAACTCATCATAGTATTATTACATCCGAAATGTCAACCGGTGACTCAGAACAACGTATGCTTGATTTCGTCAAACCAGATAAAAAAAGAGTAGGTATATCGTTTGAAGAAGAAACAAGCATAACAGTGACTGAAACAATTGCGTCTGATAAGGAACGAGAATATTTGAAGAAACCGGATATTCCAGGTGAAAAAATTAATACCAGCTTTGACGCTCATAAAATCGCCGAACTTACTGAGGTTACACCAGCCATTTATCCAGGAGACCTTAATGTAAAAACACCAGAGACAGCAGCAGCAAAAAAGGAACATTTGCCGTTTGAGAGTATCGTTCAAAGCGAAACTATTGCAACAGAAACAGAAATAGAATTTCAAGATAAACAAACCAAAACCGACACTGCTCAAATATCCATTGCCGAGATTATCAGTGCTACTATATCTACTGAGATTTTAGGCGAAAAGGAAGATATTCTTCAAATTCCCAAAAAACCTATAGAGAAAAAAGCCGAGATTCAATTTGCCGGACATATTATTGCTGAGAAGAACGAAATCACTCCAAATTCTAGCACTGGAGAATTGATGGAGACAAAACCGATTTCTATTTCAGCCACATTCTCGAATATTCCGTTAGAGGCAATAGTAGCAATGGAAACTCAGCCAACGGAAATGGAGACTATACTCAAGAAAGATAAAATACCATCGATGGTTCAAGCTGATCTTTCCATGATGATGGAACAAAGTGTAGAGATATCTTCGATAATTTTAGAGGATAAAGAAACAGAATATAAGCCGAAGGAAATACCAAAAACAAGAACAGCAGAGAAAGCTCTAATCGAAACTCATGGCGTCGCCGAAACAACAATACAAATCGCTAATTTTAGCACTGGTGAAATTGCTACTGGCGAAACACCACTGATTGCCGTCGCAGTTCCAGATCATATAATGTTTAATCCACTAGTAGAATCACAGCTTGTTATTCAAGAAGGAGAAGAGCAATTTACGCCAGCATTAATGCCGGAAAATAAAATAGTAAACATCGATATGGAAGAAAGTAAAGTCATCGCAAGTATAAAACATATAACACCAGCAGATAAAGAATCGACATATATCGTTGAGGAACCGCGTCAATACGCTGCTTCATTCGATATTGATGCTACTCACAGTATAGCAGAAACGACCGCGGTAGCTATTGAACATTCTGTAGGAAAAGTAACCATCAAAAAGCCAGACGTTAAAACCGTATCACCTACACATGAAGTACATCAAAGCCTTTTAGTAACTGAAGACATGATTCAAGATCAAGAGAAACCCTTCAAAGGCAAATTCACACCAGAAATGCACAAAATAGAATTAGCTGTCGAAGAAGGTAAGCACGTTACCTCTGTTACGGAAATTAAAATAGCTGACAAAGAAGCTCCCCTTGAAACATTACAGGAAGATAAATCTCATTTGGCACTCTCGGTTATTGTTCCTGGTCACGAAGTCGCCGAGAGATCTGAAATAATTACCAGTTCAAGTATAGGTAAAATGAACGAAGTTACAGTACCAACAAAAGTAACCGCGCTAATTGGTCAAAAACCATTTGAGACAGTACAATTCTCCGAACAAACTTTAGTGGAGAAAGAAATAGATAGGATTCAGGAGACGCCATTAATAAAAACAAAAGCGCATGTTATTTTAGATGAAAATAGATTCGTTGCCATTACAGAATCTACTAATGCTCAAGACAATGAAGAGGAATTTGCTACAAAGAAACTTCGCCTTGAAGCGGCAAATCTTTTAATGGAAGGTAAAGAAGTAGCTGAACGAACGGAAATTAATTTACGCGAAGAACTCGGAGAATTACCTTCAGCAATGAAACCGATTGTATGCGAAGCACATAAAACACAATCTACTTTGGAAGGTATTGACGTCAGCGAAATGGTTCCTCAAGAGCAAGGTGCAATATTCACTGATAAATTCAAACCCGATAAGCGTAGCGCCGAGATTAGCTTCGTCGAAGGGAAAAGTATTACCGTAGATCATATCTTAATACAAGACAAAGAAGAAACGATGAATATTCCGAAATACGAAGAGAGTATGGCAAGAATAAAATTAGCGAAACTTGGTATGGATATTGCCCAAAAGGCTCAAATATTTATCGAGCAAAATACTGAACCGATTAAATCTTTCGAAAAAATACAAGCCGAAGCTCACATAAAACAAGACACATTTCAACCTATCATAGTTCATGAAGTTCCAAGTGCGGAAAGCGAACGTACTTTCGATAAGTATCCGAAGATAATATTCAGTACAGCTATGCCAACATTCGAAGAAGGTCATGGTGTATTTATTACGGAGATAACATCTGCCGAAGTCGAAGCATCATTGGAAGAGAAGAGACATGAAATATCGCGAACAGCTGTCGATACTATTGTTACTGAGCACGATATACTAGAGACTATAATGGTAGAATCGCGAGTAGACGTATCTGAACAACCTTCAGATTATATTTCAACACCTCAAATTGCCACATCAGCTCGAGACACGTTTGAAAGCATTATTGTTAACGAGAATATTGTTGAAGAAAGTGAGAAGACTTTCGATGATCTTTTTAAACCTGCGACACAAAAAGCGAATATTGATATAACGGAGTTAAAACCATTACAAATTTCAGAAACAATTATCGAAGACAAAGAAGGGATGTTGAATATTGTTTCAAAGCAAACTGAAGTCAAAGCTACATCAGATATCGATTTATTCCAAACTGTTGAAGGTTCTTTCGTAGAAAGTATACAAAATACTCGAGAACTTCAAGAAGAAAAACCACTTTCCTCTCAAGCAACTATAATTCAGACCACGGTGGAATCAATAGTAAAGTCAGAAACAACACCAGCCGAAAGAGAAGACATCTTTGAGTGCAAATTGCAACCCGAAGGGCAGAAAGGCAAACCACAATTCGAAAGTCTTACAACGGTTGTAATTACTGAGACAGCTTCTAATGAAATCGAAGATATCTTACCTGAAGCCATTACACCAAAACAACATCAGGCACAATTAAAGTTAACAGGCAGAGAAACTGCAGAAATCCTTCAAATAGTAACAGCGAATACAACCGAAGATTTTGCAAAATCTACTAAATTATATGAACAAAGAGGTAAACCAGGACTCGAAGAATTGTCATCCTTAACTGTTTCCGAAATTATTTCCAATGAAGTTGAAAATCTTCTAGCTAGTAAAGTTATTCCAAAAGATAGCAAGGCTGATTTCAATATTTCTGGTAGAGAAATCGCTGAAACAATTGAAATAACAACATTATCTGAGACCAATGAACTTGCTATAGGAGGACCTGAGGAACAGAAAGGCAATCAACAAATTAATGAATTAATTCCATTGACTATTTCACAAGTAATTTCTAATGAGGCCGAAGAAACATTAGTTAGTGCTGAACTTCCTACGGGAAAAACAGCACAATCAAATTTGTTTGGTAGAGATATCGCGGAAACAACACTAGTTTTAACAATGACTAATGCCGAAGAACTCATTCCTAAAAAAGAAACCGGAAAACAGAAAGGTAAACCTAGTCTCGAAGAATTCATACCATTAATAGTTTCACAAACAGAATCTCAAGAAACTGAAAATATTCTTGATAGCCTCAACATACCAACTGAAAGAACGGCGCAAACAAGTTTATATGGTAGAGACATAGCAGAAACTACAGAAATAACGACTGCATTAAGTTTAAATAAATTTGTAGAACTTGAAAAGCCCGAGATACAAAAGGGAAAACCAAATCTCGAAGAATTATTATCCTTAAGTATAACACAAACTATATCCAGTGAAGCGGAAGCTCTATTGCCTAGTTCGGAAATGCCTACGGAAAAAATGGCGCAAACTAATTTATCTGGTAGAGATGTAGCTGAAACTAGTCAAGTTTTAACGATGATGAGTGCAGAAGAACTTTCAAATCAGATATCACCTGACGAACGTAAAGGGAAAGTACAAGTAGAAGAATTATCGTCCTTAACTATATCTCAAATATTATCTCATGAAACCGAAGAAACTTTCGAGAGTTCCATTGCACCTAATAGATTCACTGCGGTGCCTACGATGTCTGGTAGAGAAATTGCCGAGATTTCTCAGATGCTTATTGTCACAAATGCTGAAGAACTTCCAAAACCTGAAAGTCCAACAAAACAAAAAGGTAAACCACAATTAGACGAATTTTCCTCACTTTTAGTTTCTCAAGTAATATCTACAGAGACAGAAGCACAACTGCCAAGTCTAAAAAAATTAGAGGAGAAAACAGCCATACCATGTTTCTTAGGTAGAGAAATAGCTCAGAAAAGCGAAATTATAACTGCTGCAACTGTAGAACAAATACCCGAATTGAAGGAAAAAAATGATCAAAAAGGAAAGCTAAGCATTGAACAAATGAGTTCTGTTACTGTGTCTGAGGTAATTTCTACGGACATAGAACAAGAATTACCGACATCAGAGATTCCAAAACAGCAAAAAGCTCTCCCAAAATTATTCAGCATAGAAGTCGCGGAGATGTCAGAAATTTTGACAGTGAGTAACGCTGAAGAGCTTGCAAGATCACAAATTCCCGAAGAACAGACAGGTAAACCAAACTTAGAAGAACTAATTCCATTGTCGATCTTTGAAGTATCTTATAATGAAACAGAAAAAGAATTACTTACACCACACGAACCGACTAAACAAATAGCCGAAAAAACTATGCTAGGCATGCGAGTTGCCGAGAAGTCACAAGTATTTACATCGTTGACAACGGAGGAGATGACAGAGTCAGTTAAACCTCTGATAAAAAAATTAACACCAGAACAAATACCCTTTGAGAGTATACAACAAATTGAGTCAATTATTCATGAAAACGAAAGTTCATTTCTTCCTGATAAAAAGACACCAAGTACCACAGCCGAAGTTTCATTCGACGTTTCTGAAGGTGTCGAAATTATTCAAGTAATCGCAACAGAGAAGGAAACAAAGGAAGTTGTCAAAAGCCTGGAAGAAGCAGCTAAACAGACAGCTGAGCAAAAAATGCAAAGTATTCATGTTGCAGAAAAATCTCAAATAGTTACATCGTCAACAACAGGAGAGATGATGGCATTTATTAAGCCAGAGATAAAGAAAATAATACCCGAACAAATACCATATGTAAGCATACAGCAAATTGAATCAATTCCTCACGAAAGCGAGCATTTGCTTCTTCCTGACAAGAAAACATCAAGTAAAAAAGCCGATATTTTATTCCGCGTTTCCGAAGGCGTCGAAGTTTTTCAAGTAACAGCTACGGAGAAAGAAGCAAAAGAAATAATAAAAAGTTTGGAAGAAGCAAGTCAACAAACAGCCGAACAGAAAATGTTGACTATGGGCGTTGCAGAACAATCACAAGTAATTGCATCGTCAACAACAAAGAATATGATTGAGTCCGTTAAGCCAGAAATAAAGAAAATAATACCAGAACAAATACCGTTTGAGAGTATACAACAAACTGAATCGATTTCTCACGAAAGAGAAAGTTCGATTGTTTCGGAAAAAGATATAGCCATTGCAATGGCCGATATTACATTCCGCGTTTCTGAAGGTGTCGAAGTTATTCAAGTAACCGCTACGGAAAAAGAAACGAAAAACATCATAGAAAGTTTGGAAAAAGCAACGAAACAGATAGCTGAACAAATCATACCAACTATGCGTGTTGCAGAACAATCTCAAACTATTACTTCATCAACAACAAAAGAGATGGTAGAATCTACAAAACCTGAGACAAAGAGAATAATACCGGAACAAATACCGTTTGAAAGTATACAACTGATTGAATCAATTCCTCATGAAAGTGAACGTTCACTTCTCCTGGATAAGAAAGTACCAACTACAATGGCTGATGTTTCGTTCCGCGTTTCCGAAGGAGTCGAAGTTATTCAAATAACAGCTACTGAAAAAGAAATAAAAGAAATAGTAAAAAAAGAAGAAGAAGCAATTAAACAGACAGCAGAGCAAAATATATTGGGCATACGCGTTGCAGAACAGTCTCAAGTAATTGCATCGTCAACAACGAAAGAAATTATAGAATTTGGTAAACCTGAAATAAAGACAATAATACCGGAACAAATACCGTTTGAAAGCATACAGCAGATCGAGTCAATCCCTAATGAAAGCGAGTATACGCTTCTCCCTGATAAGAAGATACCAAGTACAAAGGCCGATGTTTCATTCCGTGTTTCCGAAGGCATTGAAGTTATTCAAGTAACTGCTACGGAGGAGGAAACAAAGGAAGTTGTAAAAAGTGTGAAAGAAGTAACTAAACAAGTAGCGGAGCAAGGTATATTAAGCATGTCTGTTGCTGAAAAAACTCAAATAGTTGCATCATCGACAACGGAGGAAATTAAAGAATCTTCAAAGCCTGATGTAAAGAAAATTATTCCAGAACAAATACCATTCGAGAGTATATTACAAACCGAATCAATTCTTCATGAAAGAGAAAGTTTACTTCTCCCCGATAAAAAAACGCCAAGTACAAAGGCCGATGTTTCATTCTGCATTTCTGAAGGCGTCAAAGTTATCCAAGTAACCGCTACGGAGGAGGAAACAAAGGAGATTGCTAAAAGTGTAGAGGAAACAACTAAACAAGTAGCCGAACAGAGCATGTTAAGCATGCCTGTTGCTGAAAAAACTCAAGTAGAAGCGTCATCGACAATACAGGAAATTATAGAATCTTCTAAACCTGAGGAAAAGAAAGTCATTCCAGAACAAATACCATTCGAGAGCATACAACAGATTGAAGCAATTCCTCATGAAAGGGAACGTTTGCTTCTTCCCGATGAGAAGACACCAAGTACAATAGCCGATGTTTCATTTCGAGTTTCTGAAGGAGTCGAAGTTATCCAAGTAACCACTACGGAAAAGGAAACTAAAGAAATCATAAAAGGCTTGGAAGAAACAACTAAACAAATAGCCGAGCAGAGCATGCTGAGTATGCCCGTTGCTCAAAAATCTCAAATGATTGCATCATCAACAACAGAAGAGATGATGGAATCTATTAAGCCTGAAACGAAAAGAATAATTCCGGAACAGATACCATTTGAAAGTATACAACAAATTGAATCAATTCCTCATGAAAGCGAACGCTCGCTTCTTCCGGATAAAGAAACATCAATCGCAACGGCTGATATTACATTCCGCGTTTCCGAAGGCATCAAAGTTATACAAATAACCGCTACAGAAAAGGAAATAAAAGAAGTTGTAAAAGAAGAAACAACTAAACAAATAGCTGATCAGAGTATGTTAGGTATGCTTGTTGTAGAACAATCTCAAGTAATTACATCATCAACAACAGAAGAGATAATAGAGCCTATTAAGCCAGAAATAAAGAAGATAATACCCGAACAAATACCATTTGAAAGTATACAACAAATCGAATCAATTCCTCATGAAAGAGAAAGTTTGCTTCTCCCCGATAAGAAAACACCAAGTACAAAGGCAGATGTTTCATTCCGTGTTTCTGAAGGAGTCGAAGTTATCCAAGTAACATCCACGGAGAAGGAAATAAAAGAAGTTGCAAAAAGTGTAGAAGAAGCAACTAAACAAGTAATCGAGCAGAGTTTGTTAAGTATGTCCGTTGCTGAAAAAACTCAAGTGGTTCCATCATCAACAACGGAAGAAATTAGAGAATCTTCAAAGCCTGAAGTAAAGAAAATTATTCCAGAACAAATACCGTTCGAAAGTATACAACAAACCGAATCAATTCTTCATGAAAGAGAAAGTTTGCTTCTCCCCGATAAGAAAACGCCAAGTATGAAAGCTGATGTTTCGTTCCGTATTTCCGAAGGTGTTGAAGTTATTCAAGTAACAGCTGCAGAGGAAGAAACAAAGGAAGACGTAAAAAGTGTGGAAGAAGCAAACAAACAAGTAGCCGATCAAAGCATGTCAAGTATTTCTGTTGCTGAAAAAATTGAAGTTTTTACATCATCAACAACAGAGGAAATTAAAGAATCTTCCAAGCCCGAAGTAAAGAAAATTATTCCAAAACAAATACCGTTCGAGAGTATACTACAAACCGAATCAATTCTTCATGAAAGAGAAAGTTTGCTTCTTCCCGATAAGAAAATACCAAGTACAAAGGCCGATATTTCATTCCGTGTTTCTGAAAGCGTCAAAGTTATCCAAGTAACCGCTACGGAAGAGGAAACGAAGGATGTTGCTAAAAGTGTAGAAGAAGCAACTAAACAAGTAGCCGAACAGAGCATGTTAAGTATGCCCGTTGCTCAAAAATCTCAAGTAATTACATCATCAGAAACAAAGGAAATTATAGTGTCTGCCAAGCCTGAGGAAAAAAAAATCATTCCAGAACAAATACCGTTCGAGAGTGTACAACAAACCGAATCAATTCTTCATGAAAAAGAATGTTTGCTCCTCCCTGAAAAGAAAATACCAAGTACAAAGGCCGATGTTTCGTTCTGCATTTCTGAAGGCGTCAAAGTTATCCAAGTAACCACTACGGAGGAGGAAACGAAGGATATTGCTAAAAGTGTAGAGGAAGCAACTAAACAAGTAGCCGAACAGAGCATGTTAAGCATGCCTGTTGCTGAAAAAACTCAAGTAGAAGCGTCATCGACAATGCAGGAAATTATAGAATCTTCTAAACCTGAGGAAAAGAAAGTCATTCCAGAACAATTACCATTCGAGAGTATATTACAAACCGAATCAATTCCTCATGAAAGAGAAAGTTTGCTTCTCCCCGATAAGAAAACGCCAAGTTCAAAGGCCGATGTTTCATTCCGCGTTTCTGAAGGCGTCAAAGTTATCCAAGTAACCGCTACGGAGAAGGAAATAAAGGATGTTGTAAAAAGTATAGAAGAAGCAACTAAACAAGTAGCCGAACAAAGCATGCTAAGTATGCCCGTTGCTCAAAAATCTCAAGTAATTACGTCATCAGAAACAGAGGAAATTATAGTATCTGCCAAGCCTGAGGAAAAGAAAATCATTCCAGAACAAATACCATTTGAGGGCATACAACAAATTGAACCAATTTCTCATGAAAGCGAACGTTTACTTGTTCCTGATAAAGAAATGACAAGCGCAACAGCTGATGTGTCATTCCGCATTTCCGAAGGAGTCGAAATTATCCAAGTAATCGCTACAGAGAAAGAAATAAAAGAAGACGTAAAAAATTCGGAAGAAGTAACTAAACAAATAGCCGATCAAAGCATGTTAAGCATGGCAGTTGCTGAAAAATCTCATGTGATTGCGTCATCATCAACGAAGGAAATGATGGAATTTGTTAAACCTGATGTAAAGAAAATAATAGCAAAACAAATACCATTTGAGAGTGTACAACAAATAGAAACGATTCCTCATGAAAGCGAACGTTCTATTATCGTTGAAAAAGTGATAGCAAGTGCTTCAGCCGAAGTTTCGTTTCGCATTTCGGAAGGTGTTGAAGTTACCCAAATAACTCCTACAGAGAAAGAAACAAAAGAAGTCGTCAAAGGTCTTGCTAAGGAAAAAATCGCGCAAGCAGATATAATTGAACGAAAAGTTGCTCTAAAAACTGAAATTCATCCGGAAAATGTAGTATCGGAATTCAGTGTTTCAAAACCAGACAGTAAAACAGCTCATGATGTCAAAGATGAAAAACAATGTATAATTGTTACTGAATTGCAACACATTACTGAAATTGAATCCAATCTGTCCGAACCCGTAATTCCAATAGTACCAAAAATAGCAAGCACATCTTTTGAAGCCGACTACTTAGAAAAAATTTTAGGTAAGTATTATATGTATAGAAAAGTAACATGATAAATTGCATTGATAATTCACACGCGACATTTGAAGAAATTCGATTCGATTAAACACAATGATCGTAATATTTAATAAGTTAAACAGACAAATTATATAAGTATGTTAGTTTATATTAATAAAAGAGATAAAAAGAGGAATATAATTAGAATACACAAATCAGGAATCTTTGGCATTTAATGCAAATATTTAACAAATGTTCGAAACTAATGTTCGATTTAACATTACGATCTTGTTATAGATTATCTCGGTAAGTACAGAACTAATAAAATACAGAGTTATAATTTACTGACATTTAGATAAGAATATCTTATATAGTCAACTAGCAGCTGATTTCATTATGCTTCATAATAATCATGTTTTAATACTACCCAATATTCGAGTAATAAATTATAATAAAAAAATTTGTCAATATATTGGCTGCGTTCGGCGGACTTAATAGTTGAGTCCGTTGAACGCAGCCATTACTTGCGTCTAATACATTGTTAAACATTATAAATACTAATACAACATCAAAATTCAAATAATGCCGACAGACAAAACATTTTACATACAACAATTTAATCATATACCACACTTTTTCTGTGTACATTTCAGAAACTACAGAAGCATCAGAGCAACAACATCATATCACAGTCACACAACACACCACAATACACGAAACAAAACAACCAACAAATGAATCTGATACTGAAGTAATTGAAGAATATATCACAAAATTTAAAACTAAAGAAAATGAAACGCCAGCGATTAAAACAAAGAAAACTATAATTCGTAAAAAGAAACCAAAAACTAAATCAGAAGAAGAAAAAATTATAGTAATTGAAGAAGAAATAGAAGACATAGAACCACAAATACCATCCATACCAAAAAAACAATTTATGCATATTGAAGAAGTAACAGGACAAATAGAAATAGAAGAAATAGTACCAACAAAAATTGAAGAATTAGAAGAAACCGCTCAAAATCAAGAAGAAATAAAAACGGTAATACAAAACGGAGAAATATCAGTTATAGAAGAAAAACAATTATTAATAAGTGCACCTATAGATAAACTAAAAGAAAAAATCGTTTCTCCTGTATCACATTCTAAATTCGTCAAACTTCCCTTTGAACAGGAGGAAATAAAGAAACAAGTGACAGTGACTGAAGAGGTAATCGAAGGAAAGGAACCAAAAAAGATAATTAAAAAGAAAATCATTAAACGTAAAGGAAAGAAACAGCAGATAACAGAAGAAACAACAATAGAGGAAAAAGGACAAATACCTGTAACAACAATTACAGAAGGTCCAGTAGAAGAAGTTATTCAAGAATCTGTTCTTTCACTGTTATCTTCTGAATTCATAGAACCTCTTGAAAAGGAAGAGATAAAAGAGGAAGTAACAGTAACTGAAATAGTAGACGGGAACAAACCCCAGAAAATAACTAAAAAGAAAATTATCAAACATAAAGGACAGAAACAGCAAGTGATCGAAGAAATAATTACAGAAGAAGAAGGACGATTACCTGTAACTACAATTACAGAAGGACCAGTGGAGGAAATCATTAAAGAGATTATTCTTCCTAAATCACATATAGAATTCATCAAGCCCGAAAATGAAGAAACAAGGGAACAAGTAACAGTAACTGAAGAAGTAATCGAAGGGAAAAAACCGAAAAAGACCATTAAAAACAAAATAATTAAACGCAGAAAGCAGAAAGAGCAGGTGACGGAAGAAACAACTATAAAAGAAAAGAGACAACTACCTATAACTACAAGTACGGAAGGTCCTGTAGAAAAAATCGTCGAAGAAACCGTACTTCCTCTACTACAACCCAAATTACCCTTTGAAGAAGAAATGAGGAAGCAAGTAACAATAACTGAGGAAATAATCAAGGAAGAAAAATCAAAAAAGATTTCTAAAAATAAAATTGTTGAAGAGCAGAAACAATGGGTAACAGAAGAGATAATAGATTCAAAGAGACAATTACCTATAATAACAATTATTGAAAGTCCGATAGAAGAAATTGCTGAAGAAATTGTATTCCTTTTGCCACAGGCTGAATTTGCAACGCTCCTTGACGAGAAGGAAATAAGAGAGACGGAGCTAATTATAGTGACTGGAGAATTAATTAAAGGAAAAAAACCGAAAAAAATCACTAAAAAGAAAGTTATTAAAGGACAGAAACAAGTGACAGAAGAGACAACAATAGAGGAAAAGGAACAACTACCTGTAACAACAATTACAGAAGGTATGGTAAAAGAAATCACAGAAATCATACTTCCTCCACTACAACCTGAATTCGCTAAGCCTCTTGAAGAGGAAGAAAACAAGGAGCAAATAACAATAACTGAACAAGTAATCGAAGAAAAGAAACCGAAAAGAATCACTAAAAACAAAATAATTAAACATAAAGGACATAAGGAGCAGATGACGAGAGAAACTACAGAGGAACAGCAACAACTACCTGTAAAAATAGTTACGGAAGGTACAGTAGAAAAAATTGTACTTTCTTCTCCTCAACCTGAATTCGCCAAACCCCTTGAAGAAGAGAAAATACAGAAGCAAATAATTGAAGAAGCAATCGAAGGAAAGAAGCCGAAAAAAATCACTAAAAAGAAAATTATTAAACGCAAAGAACAAAAACAACAGAGAACGGAAGAAACTATACAGGAACAGGAACAACTACTTGTAACAGTCATGGAAAGTCTGGCGGACGAAATCGTTGAAGAAACTATACTTCCTCTACCACAATCCGAATTCGAGAAGCGCAATGAAGATGAAGAAATAAGGAAGCAAGAAACAATAACTGAAGAAATAATTGAGGATGAAAAACCGAAAAAGATTACTACGAAGAAAATTATTAAACGTAAAGGACAGAAACAGCAAGTTTCAAAAGAGACAACCATAGAGGAAAAGGATCAACCATCAATAACAACAATTATGGAAAGTCCAGTAGAAGAAGTTGTTGAAGAAATTATATTTCCTCTATTACAATCCGAATTCGCTAAGCCCTTTGAAGAAGAAGATATAAGGGAACAAGTAATAGTAACTGAAGAAATAATTGAGAGTGAAAAACCGAAAAAGATTACTACAAAGAAAGTTATTAAACAGAAAGGACAGAAACAGCAGGTGACACAAAAAACAACGGTAGAAGAACAAGGACAACTACCTATAACGACAATTACAGAAGGTCCATTAGAAGAAATTGTTAAAGAAACTGAATATTCTATGCCACAATCCAAATGCGCCAAGCCCTTTGAAGAAGAAGACATAAGCGAGCAAGTAACAATAACTGAGGAAATAATTGAGGGTGAAAAACCGAAAAAGATTACTACGAAGAAAGTCATTAAACGTAAAGGACAGAAACAGCAAGTGACAAAAGAGACAACCATAGAGGAAAAGGGTCAACCATCAGTAACAACAGTTATGGAAAGTCCAGTAGAAGAAATTGTTGAAGAAACTGTACTTCCTCTATTACAATCCGAATTCGCTAAGCCCTTTGAAGAAGAAGATATAAGAGAGCAAGTAATAGTAACTGAAGAAATAATTGAGGGTGAAAAACCGAAAAAGATTACTACAAAGACAATTATTAAACAGAAAGGACAGAAACAGCAGGTGATACAAGAAACAACTGTAGAAGAACAAGGACAACTACCTATAACAACAATTACAGAAGGTCCATTAGAAGAAATCGTTGAGGAAACTGAATATTCTATGCCACAATCCGAATTCGCCAAGCTTTTTGAAAAAGAAGACATAAGGGAGCAAAAAACAATAACTGAGGAAATAATTGAGGGTGAAAAACCGAAAAAGATTACTACAAAGACAATTATTAAACAGAAAGGACAGAAACAGCAGGTGATACAAGAAACAACTGTAGAAGAACAAGGACAACTACCTATAACAACAATTACAGAAGGTCCATTAGAAGAAATCGTTGAGGAAACTGAATATTCTATGCCACAATCCGAATTCGCCAAACTTTTTGAAAAAGAAGACATAAGGGAGCAAGAAACAATAACTGAGGAAATAATTGAGGGTGAAAAACCGAAAAAGATTACTACGAAGAAAGTCATTAAACGTAAAGGACTGAAACAGCAAGTGACAAAAGAGACAACCATAGAGGAAAAGGGTCAATCACCAGTTATAGAAAGTCCAGTAGAAGAAGTTGTTGAAGAAACTGTACTTCCTCTATTACAATCCGAATTCACTAAGCCCTTTGAAAAAGAAGATATAAGGGAGCAAGTAACAGTAACTGAGGAAATAATTGAGGATGAAGAACCGAAAAAGATTACAAAGAAAGTTATTAAACAGAAAGAACAGAAACAGCAAGAAACAACTATAGAGGAACAAGGACAACTACCTATAATAACAGTTACAGAAGGTCCATTAGAAGAAATCGTTGAGAAAACTGTTCTTCCACTATCTCATCCCAAATTTGTAAAACCTTGTAAAAAGGAAGAAGTAAAGGAGGAAACAAAAGTAACTGAAATAGACGTCGAAACGAAAAAACCGAAAAAAATCACTAAAAAGCAAATTATTAAAGGACAGAAACAACAAGTAACTGAAGAAATAACTGTAGAAGAAAATGATAAATCACCCGTAACATCAATTACAGTTGGCCCAATCGAAGAAATTGTTGAAGAAACTTTATTATCTTCACAACCTGATTTCATCAAAATTGAAGAAGAAAATATAAAAAGAGATACATTAATTGAAAAGCTAGTAAAAGAAGAAAAACCAAAGAAGATTAAAAAGAAAATTATTAAACAAGGAAGTACCAAAAGAATAATTATAAGTAATGAGGACAAAGAGGAACAGGGGACAAAAGTTACAAATCTTCACGCAGACACTACACCTGAAATACACATTAAATACGATGAAATGATAAAATCTAAAATCAGTAAAAAGACTTTGGAAGGTAAGTTTGGTTTTACTTTTAGTGTTTACTAATTCTTGCGTCCTACTAAAACATACATCTCTTCTCTACAATTCATTTTATATACATCTCATTGAATATACATCTCATTAAAATTGAAAGAAAGAAAAAATAAACTATCAATTATTATCTGATAATACTAATATTATACATAAAAATATTAATATTATTAAATCACTTATTAAAACGCAATTATCGCAGTTAAAAAAATTTTTAGTAATCTTTTTTTTATTAATCTGATTTCTTATCTTTGTTTTTTTAGATACCAGAGAAGAAGGGCTATATCAGGTAAGCTAGAGAAAATACAAAAAGTTGTTCTATTTAGTATATTATAATATATTTCGTATTCTCACCATATTTTTACAGGAAGAAGAATCAATTTACGAAATGCCTGAAGAAATTATAGAAGAAGTTGTAACAAAAGAAATAGAGATTCAAAAAGCTCAACTCCTTACACATAAAGAAGAATCGGTAGAAATTACAGAAATAGATCTCAAGGAAGCACCAATAGAAAAAAAGAAAATATCTATCAAAGAAGAGAACGAGAATATTGAAAAACCGATACAGAAAGACATTAAGACAAAACAAGTACCAAAGAAAAATGAACGTGTTAAGGTCGAGGAAATAAAATCAGAAGAAATGCCATCCAAAAAAATAATTAAGAAAAAGGAACCCATGATAGACACTGCTGACGTTTTTGAGCAAGTAGAAGAAATCCAAACGGACATACCAAAGAAAGAAAAGGCTAAAACTATCGTGGAAGACAAAAAAGAAACTATTACAGTTACAAAAATAGATACACAACAATCAATTGTTAAAGTACCTGAGGAGAAAATTGATCAGAAACCAATTGAAGATACTCAAATAATTGTTAAAGAAAAAATAGTCGAACTTATCGAAACACCGATAGAAAAGAAAATAAAGAGAAAAAAGGGAAAATCTCATGAAGATAATGTATTACAAGAAATTGTTGAAGAAATTGTTTTAGATGAACCAGAGATAGAACAAGCTCAAACTATATTCACTCCTAGAGAGAGTATCGAAGTTGTGCAAATCTTAACTGAATCCTCTGTTACTAAATTCACAGAAGCTGAAGCTGTACCAAGAAAAGCTGCGATACACGAAATTAAAAAAGAAAAAAGCCCGATAAAGACAATTTTACGGGAAGAAACAAACACGATTCCTGTGCAGGAACAAATTACTATCGAAGTTACTAAAGAAATACTAGACAAAAAACTAAAAGAAGAAGAAATAAAATTGACTGTTATAACAAAAGAAGGAATCGAAGTTACTGAGGCAATTCCGGATACTTCTATTGAGGATCTTCTTGAAACAATAAAACCAGTGAAAGAAACGATACTGCCAGTGAAAGAAGAAGAACCACAAGTTGATATAAAAGAAGTTACGGTGAAGAAAGCACCGAAAAGAATTAAACCAGTACATGTAAGTAAACAACAAGTTAAAGAAGAAATTATCGAAGATATTATATTAAAAAAACCAACACAAGAAAAAGTAGAAGAAATAATAATTGCAAATGAGGAAATAGAAACTACGGAAATTATTTCCGAAATCATAACTAATGAAATTGATAAAAATAAAACACAAGAAGAGCAAATTATGCTAGAAAAGATAAATGATAGTGTAAAATCAGTTATAGAAGTGAAGGAAGACCGACCAGAAGAAGCAGTAGAGGACATAAAAATGAAAAGGCCCAAAAAGGAAAAGGTTAAAAAGGATGTACTTTTACAAGAAAGTGTTGAAATTTCAGAAGTAACAACAGAAGTAGTACCTGAAGAATTCATCACGGAAAAAACGTTTGCTGAAGAGGAAGCAGAATTAAGTGTTACACCAATAGAAATTATTGAAATTAGTAAAGTTGATCTAGCTGTAGCAGATGAAATAACAAAAAAGAAAAAAGTAAAACCTAGGAAGACTGACATTAAAAAAGAAAAAGAGAAAGAATTAGCTCCTATCGAAAAAGAAGAGATCACTCCAGAAAAAAAACAGGAAGAAGAAATAGGAGAAAAAATAACATCCAGCCAACCTAAATTAGAACAAATAAAAATAAAGAAAATTATACTAGAAACTACAGGAGAAATAATTCCCGAAGTTAAAATGAAAGATACTTTAAAAGAGAAAAAACCCGAAGATGAATTGAAGGAAATAAAAACAATACATTCCGAAAAAATAAAGGAATTTGAAAAACCAAAAGAAGAAATTACTGCAGAAGAAAAACCAATGGAGCTTAAATCTATCGAGAAAATAAAAGAAAAGAAAGTTATAAAGAAAAAGAAGAAAAAAATCGTCAAGAAAGACGATATAGAGGAATGGATAGAACCTGAGTATGAAAGACCGGTATTAGAACCAATGCCTGAAAAAATTCAATGGGAGCCAATGAAAAAGAAAAAAGAAAAAAAAATATTGCCTGAATCTGTGCAAAAATTAGTTCCACAGAAAATTGAAAGAAAAGAAATCAAACCTACAAAATTAAAATATATTGAACCAATGCAAGAAATAATCCAATTTGGCACAATTAAATTGAAAAAAGTACCAATTGTTAAGAAAAAAGAAATAATTGAACCAATTTTTCCTAAAATCATGTTACGAAGTAAAGTTACATTTGTCGATGACTATCCGGCACAATTACAAATACCAAAAGTTACGTATATAGAAAAAAATCCAATACAAGCTGGCATTTTATCTAGAAATACAGAAGAAGCATTACAAGTTATAAAGAAGAAATACAAAAAACCTAAAGTCTTAGAGAAAGATTTGATTGAATTAGAGAAATTAGATAAGGAGTTTGAAGAACTAAAAAAAGTTCCTTTAGAACAAATAGAAGACAAATCTATTTATGAACGTACACTCAAGAAGACGCAGAAAACGTTCGAAGAATCACAAAAGCTTATTATTGGAAAAGGTGAAATAAAACAAGAAGATAAAATTATACCGGAAGAGATCAAACTAAAGAAAATACCGATAAAAAAATTAGAACAAGAAACAGAAAATAAAGAAACACCTAAAATAAAAGAATCCATAAAGGATATGCCTCTAGAAAAAGAACAACAACCTCAAAAAACATTCATATCTGATGAATTCAAACCAATAAAATTTGATAAGCCAGAAATTGAAAAATATGTACCTGAAGAATTCGAAATAAACAAAAAATCAGAAAATGAACCTGACTCGAAATCATATAAACCATTTAAGAGAAAAAAACCTGAACAAGATATGGAGCAAATTCCTTTAATAAAGGGTATACCAAAGCCACAGGAACATGAAGAAGAACCCGAGATCAATTTTCGAATACCAACTTCAGAAAAACCCGAAGATGAACCTGAAACAATAATTTTAAAAAGCTGGACAAAAAATAAACCCGAAGAAGAAAGCATAGAAGAACAGCCAACTAAGGAAAAAGACATTATACCAATGACGCCCAAAGACATTATTGATGACTTTACAGTAAAACAGAAGAAGAAACAGAAAAAGATCAAAGAGAAAGAAATAAAATTACAGGACAGTAGTGAGGATACTACGTTAAAAAATATTCCTGAAGAAAAGCAAGAGATACCAACAGAAAAATTAATTGTAAAAAGAAAGAAGTTAGAACCGAAAGAAAAGCAAGGTGAAGTAGATATCTCTCAAGAAGTGTTATTAAAAAAACCAAAGCAGTTTACTGAAGACAAAATAGAAATAGAAGCTGAAGTATCAATTATAAAACCGACTACCAAGGAGAAGAAAGAAGATGCCAAAGAAATCATTGAAGAAATTACAGTAAAGAAAAAACCAAAGAAAAAATCCATAACCGATGATCTTGCTACTGAAATAATTGTAAAAGAACTTGGTCTAAAAGAGAAAGAACAAATGCCGGAAGAAATCCCTGAAGAAGTAGTACTAAACAAACCAAAAGAAGAATCTGTCAAGGAAGAAGTCGCTGACAAAGTAACGATTGAAAAATTAATTACTGAAAAAAGAAAAGAAGAAACTGAGGAAGTTACGTTTAAAAAGAAACCAAAGAAAAAACCTGTTATAGATGAATCTGCTGCAGAAATAACTGTAAAGAAACCCGTTCCAAAGGAGAAAGAGCAAGTACCGGAAGAAATCTCTAAAAAAGTGGTACTAAAGAAATCAAAACAAGAAATTCCCAAAGAAGAAATCGCAGATGAAGTGATGATTAAGAAACCGGTTGTCGAAGAAAGAAAAGAAGATGTAAAAGACGTCACTGAAGAAGTTACGTTGAAAAAGAAACCAAAAAAGAAGCCTGTTACAGAGGAATCTGCTACTGAAATAACTGTAAAGAAACCCGTTCCAAAAGAGAAAGAGCAAATGCCAGAAGAAATCTCTGAAGAAGTAGTGCTAAAGAAATCAAAACAAGAAATTCCCAAAGAAGAAATCGCAGATGAAGTGACGATTAAGAAACCGGTTGTCGAAGAAAGAAAAGAAGATGTAAAAGACGTCACTGAAGAAGTTACATTGAAAAAGAAACCAAAAAAGAAGCCCGTTACAGAGGAATCTGCTGCTGAAATAACTGTAAATAAACCCGTTCCAAAAGAGAAAGAGCAAATGCCAGAAGAAATTTCTGAAAAAGTAGTGCTAAAGAAATCAAAACAAGAAATTCCCAAAGAAGAAATCGCAGATGAAGTGACGATTAAGAAACCGGTTGTCGAAGAAAGAAAAGAAGATGTAAAAGAAATCACCGAAAAAGTTACGTTAAAAAAGAAACTAAAGAAAAAGCCTGTTACAGAGGAACCGACTGCTGAAATAACTGTAAAGAAACCCATTCCAAAAGAGGAAGAGCAAATGCCAGAAGAAATCTCTGAAGAAGTAGTGCTAAAGAAATCAAAACAAGAAATTCCCAAAGAAGAAATCGCAGATGAAATGATGATTAAGAAACCGGTTGTCGAAGAAAGAAAAGAAGATGTAAAAGAAGTCACTGAAGAAGTTATGTTGAAAAAGAAACCAAAAAAGAAGCCTGTTACAGAGGAATCTGCTGCTGAAATAACTGTAAAGAAACCCGTTCCAAAAGAGGAAGAACAAATGCCAGAAGAAATCTCTGAAGAAGTAGTGCTAAAGAAATCAAAACAAGAAATTCCCAAAGAAGAAATCGCAGATGAAATGATGATTAAGAAACCGATTGTCGAAGAAAGAAAAGAAGATGTAAAAGAAGTCACTGAAGAAGTTACGTTGAAAAAGAAACCAAAAAAGAAGCCTGTTACAGAGGAATCTGCTGCTGAAATAACTATAAAGAAACCCGTTCCAAAAGAGGAAGAGCAAATGCCAGAAGAAATTTCTGAAAAAGTAGTGCTAAAGAAATCAAAACAAGAAATTCCTAAAGAAGAAATCGCAGATGAAGTGACGATTAAGAAACTGGTTGTCGAAGAAAAAAAAGAAGATGTAAAAGAAGTCACTGAAGAAGTTACGTTGAAAAAGAAACCAAAAAAGAAGCCCGTTACAGAGGAATCTGCTGCTGAAATAACTATAAAGAAACCCGTTCCAAAAGAGAAAGAGCAAATGTCAGAAGAAATTTCTGAAAAAGTAGTGCTAAAGAAATCAAAACAAGAAATTTCCAAAGAAGAAATCGCAGATGAAGTGACGATTAAGAAACCGGTTGTCGAAGAAAGAAAAGAAGATGTAAAAGAAGTTACTGAAGAAGTTACGTTGAAAAAGAAACCAAAGAAGAAGCCCGTTACAGAGGAATTTATTGCTGAAATAACTGTAAAGAAACCCGTTCCAAAAGAGGAAGAACAAATGCCGGAAGAAATCTCTGAAAAAGTGGTATTAAAGACATCAAAACAAGAAATTCTCAAGGAAGAAATCGCAGATGAAGTGACGATTAAGAAACCGGTTGTCGAAGAAAGAAAAGAAGATATAAAAGAAGTCACAAAAGAAGTTACGTTGAAAAAGAAACCTAAGAAAAAGCCCGTTACAGAGGAATTTGCTGCTGAAATAACTGTAAAGAAACCCGTTCCAAAAGAAGAAGAGCAAATACTGGAAGAAATCTCTGAAAAAGTAATATTAAAAAAACCAAAAGAAAAATCTTTCAAAGAAGAAGTTGTTGACGAAGTGACAATTAAGAAACCAATTGTCGAAGAAAGAAAAGAAGATATAGTTGAAGAAATTACTTTAAAACCTAAGTCAAGAAGGAAGATGTTCGAAACGGAAGAAATGTCAGAAGTAACTATTGTGAAACCTGTAAAAGATAAAAAAGTAGAAGAAATTGCAGAAATATCTGCAGATATATTATTAAGGGAAAAAGAACCAATACCAGAAATTAAAGATGTAATTACAGAAGAATTAACTATTCGGAAAATCGAGATTATAGAACAACCTGAAGAAGTAATTGAAGAATTTACTTTGAAACGCAAACCACCGAAAAAAGCTCCGAAACCAATTGAAGAAATTTATGAAGATGTTACTTTACGTAAATTACGATCAAAGAAAAAGTCTAGACCAGATATCAGAGAAGTTACTGAAGTAGAGAATGTAACATTTAGACCACGTTATACAAAAAGAAAAGAGGATGTAGAACAAGAATTTAAAATCTCATTAAATACATATGAAGAAGAAGATATTTCTATGTCCGGTAAAGTACGTCTAAAACCAAAAAGACGGCCGCTTACATATTCTGAAGAGACTGGAGAGGAAACAATCAAAATTATTCAAGAAATCGAAGATTTTGGTCCGATTATTGAAGAAGTCATCAATGAATCAGAAGAAGAAGGGAAAGAAGAATACAGCATCGAAGAGCTTGATATCGATGAAATGAATATTCCGCTAAGACGAAAGAAAAAGAAACAAAAAGCTCCATATATTGTAGAAGAAATTGAAGATGATATTAAATTACAATTGAATCGTGATAGAAAATACTCATACGAGAAAGCCGATACCGAATCTTTGGCGCTGAAGTTGAAAAGCAAGAGACGTATTTCCACATTCGAAGAAGGTTTGCAGATGGCATTCATGCTTTATTAGCATCTGCAATTAAATTAGAATATGCTTTCACTGATAATAATAATTAATACTTTAATAATTATTTTGACCCTTGTGAGAATGAGTATATATGCTTTATTCTTGTGCTTTGCTTTTCCTTTCCTTCGCCTAATTATCTTAAAAAAGTTTTTTTTGTCTATTATCCTTAAGTTTTTTGCTACGTATGAAAAGCTGCGTATGAAAAGCATATCGGTATTTACATATTGTAATTATATCTTTTAATACAATAACCAAAGATTTATTTGCATAATTAATATAAAAAGATCCTATGTTAAATTAAAATAGTACAGATTCATGAGCAAACAGATTCTTTGCTTATATAAAAGCTGTATCCGCCTAAAAAACTCTTCG